ACTCTTACTTTTGTGTAAACTTTGGGGGCCACACAGTCTTTTCTTTGTTCTTTCTAAGCTATAAATAGGTCAACAATCTGATTATTAATTATTATTAATTATTATTAATTATTATTATTATTAATTGTATTTATACCCCGCCTATCTAGTCATTTCGACCACTCTAGGCGGCTAGATTCACAGGCAAGAATCCTGTTGGTTGGTTACCAGGCATAAGGGCAATGATTTAAGTTGCAATAGTATTTTGTTGGCATGTTAACAAGATGCCGCTTTTATCCTTTATTGTACATCAGTCACCTGAGTTGATGTGCAGAAGCAATACAAGCAATAACTAATAAACTAGTAGCAATTCTTCACTACCAGTTTATATCACTGCACTTACACGAGTGCAACTAATCAGCAGGAGTCTGTCCATTAGAAGGAAGGTTCCTACCTTCCTATCTCTTAGCTCACCCAGTTACACAGGTTGTAGGGAAGGATAGGGGACAGCTGTTCTGTGTCTTGTGCTTAAAGACTTGCAAAAGCTGCTTTAAGTTTCTTTAAGAAAGGCTGGGTGCAAATGAAAGAAAACAAACACCTTTGTTTCAAACAAGCCAGATTCAGAAGTAAAGTTAACTGTGTTTAACAGGGTTTATTTGCAGTATTTATTCAAAATATTTTTCCCCAGCCTTTTTCCTTGAAAAGGACCCAAGGCGGCTTACAACAATGAAAGACAAAATTTAAAGTTGAAAACAATGAGTATTCAACGGTGGCTAACACAATTAAAGCCAATACAGTATTTGAAACTACATCATTAACTGGCAATATTGAGGAAAATATAAGTATACAAAAATGTCACTCTGAGAAACGGAAAACACCAAAACCGAAAACACACAAGTAGTCAAAAATCCAGTCAAAGCAGTAATGTTTAACAATTTATCTAAAAAGCACACACGGGAGCTGGTTACATGATGGAAGGAACGGTGTTTGGGCTACTTCATAACAGCCATGAGCCCCAAGGAATTTTTATCACCGACTTTTAACTTGTATTTATTTATTCTTTTAACATTGACACCATCGCTTTCCCGCAAACAGCTAAGCGGGTCCTTCACGGCCGCATTTTGGTTCTCACAACAACCCGTGAGGTAGACCTGACCGGCCCAAAGGTCCCTAAGAGAGGTTCTTGCCCCAGTGGGGATGTGTCCCCCTCAGGTCCCTTCAATCCCTCAGCACGACAAGTCCCAAAAGCCCCTCTTCTTTCCCCGCCGTTACCCGGCTTTGTGAGGGCAAAGGTGCCGCGGTCCCCTGCGGCCCATCAGCCCGTGAAAAACCCCCAACGGGCGATGAGGAGGAGGAGCAGCAGCAGCAGCCGAAGGAGGGCGAGCGGCGGCGCAAGGCCAGACCCGCGCGCCCTAGACAGACGAGGCTCCCTCCAACCGTCGCCACCACCACCATCCTCGACGGCGCTCGCTCACGCATGCGCAAGAAGAGGAGCGCAACCGCCTGCGGGGAAAACCCGCAGAGGCCTCCAACTACCTTGCCGTAGTTGCTGTTGCTTTACGGCAGCGTCGCCGAGAAGGGGGCGGGGCAAAAGGAGGAGGGGCTACACTCACCGCCGCGCGCCTTCCCTCGCGCATCTTCTCCCGTCTTCGGTCAAATGCCGCGCCTGCGCGGTTCGTGTCGGTGAAGGCTAGAGGAGAAAGTAGAGAGAAGGAGGAGCGACGATGGTTGGAGAGGCCGGCGGTCCGCCGTCCTGCCTTCCCGGCTGCTGAGGGAGCCGGTCGGGCGTCTCTATTTTCTCATTCCTGAAACCGGTGCGGGGACTGGCAAGGTGAGGAGAGAAGGGTTGGGGTTTGGCCGGGTGAGGGGACGAGGAAATTGACTGGCAGCCCCCCCCTCCCACTTCGTGACAGGGACCTTAACTGAAAACGTTGAATGTCTGGGGTCCGGTTTTTGGGTCGGGGGGGGGAGAAGGAAAAGGGTGAGGTGAAAGCAAGGATGAGGGAGTGACGCCAGGGTTGCAGCAAAAACTGAGGAGGGGGGGAAAGAACCGCTGCAGCCGAGAAAGAGGGCGAGGGAAAGGGGTTAGCAAAAGCATCGGCTGTCAACAACAACAACAATAATCCTCAGTTGCTAGTAATGCCATTTGGCAACGGGCAAAACCCCCAGTTCTCTGCCAGTGGCCACTTCTACGTTCTTTTGGCCGGCCTAGTAAAAGGCTTTGTTTAATTTGCTTAGATTATTTTTAATCCGCCTTTCTATTTAGGAAGGAGCGAAGGCGGTCTGCAACAATGAAAATGCAGTATTTAAGATTAGTAACGATGAGTATGCAATGCTAAGAGGATCAATCAATACAATGTCCCAAAAAAGGCGTTGCAGATTATAAATGGGGTGGCAGGAGGGGAAAGGGGGGGCTTTAATTATAAAGATATAATTTTATATCTGCATAAACATGTATACTTCTGATAGGGTTTGGAAGTACGTCAGAGAGACGTCTCTCTCTCCCTTCGTCGTACCTGGGCGGCAATGAAACACGCTCCTATTAATTTGATGATTCCTACCTGCTCCTCTTTTTTAATTCCTCGCTTCTTGTTTGTAGCACATGTTCTCATTCCTAAAGGATTTGTGCTATAGGATTACAAACAGCCCAGCCCAGCCCCTAGGTGAAATTACGTGAGGGTGGTGGCTGGGTAGAAAAGAGTGGACGACCAAAGGACCGACTGGGTCCAGAGAGGTCACTGGGAGGGCCTAATCTGTGCTTGGGGAAGAGTTATGGTGCGTAAACTGGGCATAGTGGTTTTTGCCAGATGGCGTGAATGGGGATAAGTGGTTTGGGGGTGGGGTAGAGGGAATGGGAGCAATCTTATTCACACTTTTCCTGGGAGTAAGATTCGTTGAGATCATTAAGGGCTTCTTCTTTTGTTTGATTGCAAGTGGGATAATAGAGGACTGTGAGCCTTCCCGATCTGGGCATACGGAGTCGTGGGGAGGCGGGAGCTAATAGGGTCGTCCGTGCTTTCGAGGAGGTTGGGGGTCGCAGGTCTGGGGAGAACCGATGGTTGAACTGGAAGATCGGATAGGAACAATTACGGACTGGGAACTAAGGCGAGAGTCTTTTGGAGCAGGCTCTGAAGCAAAGGCAAGGCTTCTTAGGGCAAGCAGGTTAAGACCCCCCCTCCCCGAGGTGGTCTTTGGTGCGAAAAGGACACGAGGAAGGGCTTCAAGGGGTAGGGGACAGGAGGGCTGCCTGGGAAGCGGGTTTTCCTTTTCTCGATCCTCCCCCTGGATCGCTCCTCCTTTTCTCCCCTGCCCCCTTCCCCGCTGCTCTGTCCGCAGAAGCCGCTTGGGTGGTCAAAGGGGAGGGGGAATTAGATCGTCCCGCATTGTGAAGTCACTCCGGGCGGAGAGGCCAGTACGGAAGGCGGCTCCTTGCGCTCTCCACGTGGGGGAAGCGGCCCTAGCCCGGGGCTGATTCCTGGCTTCCTACCTGCAGGAATGTAGGGCTGAGAATAGGGAGCGAGGGATCAAGCTCTGTGGACGGGGACTCGCTTCCCCCAAGGGGCTTCTTGTTGGGGTAAGGAGGGGGGTAGACGCCCAGGGCTTTGTGTGCAATGGGTATGGAGCTGGAGCACTGCCTTGTACCCTCCCCGGGGGTGTGTGGGAGGGGACACGGGAAGGGGCTCTGGATGTGTGAATGCTCTGAGGGTGCCTTGTTATATTGAGCGGTGGGAATGCTGGTTGTTGCAATATGGAATGATAGATCTGTAAACCTACCTGATTGCTTTTTGGGGCAGGACTCCTTAGTACTGTAGTAGTTATAGATCTCCTTGCTAGTATGATCAGGGTAGTATGTAAAGGAGCTAATGCTTTTCTTTGCTCAGTTCTTGCCTTTTTTTTCTGGCACCAGAAGTGTACTGGTTTGCAAAGCAGATGGTAACATCATCTTTAATTTTCTCTGTCAGTGAATCAGCCAATTTGTTATGCCTCACTTGTGATCTCTAAGAAAGGAACTCTTTTCTTATTGTACTTAAAGCTTCAGAGTGCAATTTGAGCTCACTATTAACATGTGTGGAATTATGCCTAAATGCAGGTAATTAAAAAAGCAAAACAAAAACATTGATGGCAGTACTTTTCCAAAATGTAGTTGAAGAGGTAGCCATATTAGTCTGGGCTAGCACATCATCCCAAAACAAAAGATAAAGAAAGAAAAAATGTTGTGAAACTTTAAAGACTAACTGCTATATTTGAATGTGAGCTTTTGTGAACAAGTCCACTTCCTCAGGCAAGGAGGAAGCGTATGTGTCCACAAAAGCTCACATTCAAATATAGTAGTTAACCTTTAAGGTGCCACATTTTTGTCTTCTTTATTTTTTAATTTGTTTTGACCTGATATACTTTTGAAGCCACTGTCCCAAAAAGATCAGAGGCATCATTAGGAAAACTGAAGCAGAAAACAGACATCTTTAGAACAGCTCAGTGGTTTAGGTTTCAGAGCCTTAGGATGGGAATTCAGTTCCCCACTGTGCATCTTTGACAGGGGCTGAACTCAATAATACTTCTAGCTCTGCAGTTCTAAGATTATATTTTTCAAAAATACCAGGCACAGCCAATCAAAATTATAAACACATTGACTGGTCTTGTATAACAGATACAAGTTTTAACCAAAAACCTGTGCACCTGTCAAATATTGGCACAGTATTTATGCTGTTTCTAATATTGCTGGGTTTTTGTAGCTCTGATGGTATTGTATCTGAGATCTGCAACTGCTTATAGTGCTATGTGAAATTTCTTGATATTGTTCCGAAAGCCCCAATGACTGTAGGGGCCACTGGAATGTGTTTCACCACAAGCGAGATGTTTCAATTGCTAGATCTCTGTATTTTGTTAGTTTTTCTAACATTACGTTATTATTGTTATTGTTATTAGCCTCTTCAACAGTATAGAAATGTTTCTAAAATTTTACATTTTTTTTCCAGAAGGAAAACCTCAGGACTATTTGGAGAACACACTATATAAAACATGGGAGAGGGCATTCTCATTTAATAGCATGCTGGTTTCAGAGTGTGCCGTGCTTAAATTCCCAACAGGCACTGTCATTGCTCATATGCAGTCAGTTTAAAACCTGGCTGTTCACTCAAGGAATTGGAATGCAGTGATGCTTAGTTTCTAAGCTATTGGATTTTGTGGGGTGGGAGTTTTATTTTTGTTTGAGGTATCAAATTGTTTTAATGTGCCTCACTGATTGTCCCTTGTCCTGAAATCTGATATAAGGCAGACTATATTTATTTATTTAAATAAATAAAATAGAGTTTAAAAGCCACATTTCAGGATGTTGTTCAATAATGAGACATCAGTTACATTTTACTTTTTTTGCATTATTTATAGCTCTGTTGGAACTGGATGAAGAAAAAGAATGGATATGGGTAACCAACATCCTTCCATCAAAAGGCTGCAAGAAATACAGAAAGAAGTTAAAGAGTTGGAATCACAAGTAGTAACATTCAGTGGGTTGTCCAGTGACAGAGCTTACAAAAAAATAGAGAGGGCTTTGACCAAGCAACTTTTTGAAATAGATTCTGTGGATGCTGAAGGCAGAGGTGACATTCAGCAAGCGAGAAAGAGGGCTGCCCAGGAAACTGAAAGACTGCTTAAGGAACTAGAGCAAAGTGCAAACCATCCACAAAGGTTAGAGATAGAGTCCATATTTAATGAAGCACAAATATTGGTAGAACAAGAAATCTCATCTTTTTACAGAGGAAGCAATTGTGTGACTGAGGAATTTGAAGAGGGCATTCAGGATATTATCTTTAGACTCACTCAGGTGAAAACTGGAGGGAAAATCTCTCTGCGGAAAGCCAGGTATCGCACTTTGACCAAAGTATGTGCTGTTCAGGAGATCATAGACAGTTGTACAAAACAGCAGCCTTCCCTTCCGTTGTCTAGTGATGCACATCCATCTGTCTCCAAGATTAATTCTGTCATGGTTGATGTAAATAAAGCAAAAGGGACCCTTATTGCCGTTTTAATGGGGGTGAACAACAATGAGACGTGTAGACATTTATCATGTGTGCTCACAGGCCTGATGGCTGATCTGGATGCCTTAGATGTATGTGGCCGACCAGAAATAAGAAACTATCGCAAAGAAGTTGTGGAAGAGATCAACAGATTACAGAAATATCTGGATCTAGATGAAGAAGCTGATACCACTTATGCTTATGACTTGGCTCAGAATAGGTGCATTATAAAAATAGAAGATATCCGCAAGAAAATGAAGGAAATCCATGCTTCCTTTCTAAAAGGAGAAAAAGCTTCAGATTTATACTTAAGGTCAAAGACAGAACTACAAGGGTTAATTGCCCAGTTGGATGAAGTAAGTCCAGGCAAGAATCCATGCATCCGAGAAGCCAGGAGGCGAGCAGTGATAGAAGTACAAACCCTCATAACATTTATTGACTTAAAAGAGGCACTTGTCAAACGACAAGCCTTTGTGGAACAAACGGAAGCAGAGCCCCCATCACACAAAGCAGTTTGGAATATTCTTGGAAACGTGTCTCAAATTCAACAAGAGGTACTTTCTTTTGACGGGAACAGAACTGATAAGAACTACATGAGACTGGAGGAACTCCTCACGAAACAACTTCTAGCGCTTGATGCTGTAGACCCCCAAGGAGATGAGCGCTCAAAGGTTGCCAGAAAACAGGCTGTGAAGCTTGCACAAAATATTCTTTACTACTTGGACATGAAAACAGATGAGTGGGAGTACTAAAATAATAGAACTTGTCCTAGATCATGCGTTTTCTCCTGCAGTTTATACCAATCAGTCTCCACAAGTACAAGACCCAAGGCTGCTGCTTCTAATTATTTCGTCAAGTTTGAGGAAGTGTTCAACTGGATTATGCAGCAGCTGCCTCATGTTTCCACAATCCAGCAATGTGGCAGTCTGTGTAGTATTTGTGTTTCAATTTTTGGCAGAGCTGTATTCTTTCCAAAATCTATAGGCCACAAAATTAGTGATGAAAATTTGCAGGACAGCCCAAGCCAACATTTGGCTAAAGAATGTGGTATTCAGTGCTTCTGCACTAGGAGAGAATGCGGTTTGTAAAAAATGTTTTCTTAAATTAGACAGGACAAAACCAATGAAAGGAGAGCTTGCACTAATGTCTGTTGGCTATAAACCAATCTAGATGTTGCATTTGTCTGACACAGCACACCTGCAATCTGCAGGATTAAATTCAAATTACTTATAGCTTTTATTTGTACACTTGATTTCATTATGCTAATTTTTCTCATCTGTGGTTTGGTTTCATTACATATAATTTTAAGAGCTTGGATTGATGGTTACAGGGCACTGTAATCACAACATTGATCAATACACCTGCATTGCAGCCTCATTCCCTGAAATACTCTGCTTATTTCTATAGAATTACTTCAGAGTCAATAGGCTGCAACTCTACTCATTCAAACTGGTCATTTTATAAAGCAGGATCCCACTAGAATAAATTGGGATGTGAAAAAAAGTGAACATGTTGCGAGAAATTTATTATTGAAGAACTGTACTGAAATCTTCAGTAGTGACAAAGTCCTGGATTGGGCCCCTAATGGCTGCAAAATATGTTATAGTGTAATTTTCTGTGTCCAGAATCACTTGCTTTGAACAGCTTGTCATTTATTTCTTTATATTTTTAAGTAGAATATTAGTGTTTGCTTCTCTGATAGAAAATTGGGCACAGGCTTTTTCACCTGTTTGGCCTGGAACTGCTTATTCTTGTCAAAATGTCATCGTGTTCATACACTACAATTTCTTCCAGGCTTAGTTTTTTTTAACATGTGTTAATGACCTGTAACTCCTACTGATATGTACAAATTGTTTAGGTACACAGCATAGCAGACTCTTAGAGAGCTTTTGCCTTTAACTGAAACATAGCAATCAGCTGTATTTGTTATTTTGAGTAGGTGGCATGTACCATTTCTCAATATAAGAGAAGCATTTCTTTGTTTTCATATTTCCCTTTTCCTCACATATAGTGCAGCAAGACAGCTAATTTACTGTGTCTGACTACACAGTAATCTTAAATACAAGAAACTAGTATCAGCCAGTTTAATTTTTTTTCTGCTGCGTGTAGGTTAAGGCCTGTAGAAACCAGAATCTATCATAGTTTTCAAGATGCACTGATAGAAAACAAAGACATTTTTAGTACAGTACCTAGAAACAAAATGGCAGATTAACTCACATTTTCTCACACAGCTTTTATAGTAAAAAATTACTGGCTTGAACAGGATTGTTTCTTTGAAATGGCTTTAAATGGTGTCAATTCCAGATTCTACATTTGTATCTATAAATAAGGTCTTAGTACTAAGGTAAAAGAATTCAGACTGTTCTTAGAAAATCAGTGCCTTTTATGTGACAGTTGAATTTAGAACATCTTGTAGCTATCACAGTTTCTAGCTGGTTTCATGATGTTTCCCAGTGACTTTTATATCTTTTGGATCACTGTTACCCTTCAACTATAATACAGTTTTTTTTTTAAAAAAAAGGCTAGCATATTTTCTGGAGGAAGCATATGAACAACCGAGAACCAGATAGTTATAGTTAAGAAACAGACTCCAGGTGCTGAGTTCCATTGTTGGTCCTGAGTACAGTGACTCAATGTATTACCCTTATCCAATGACTTTGGTCTCTTCTACCATTTTGAAGAAAGTGGCAATGGTAACTCAGTCTGTACCTTAAACATCTGTTGAGGTTGCTTGAGAAAAAGCATGTTCAAAGATTGGTGTTTTTAAAAAGTTGTTATTACGTGTAAACGCTCAGCAAATCTTTTGTCAAGAAAATTTGTGGTTTCAGTTTTGCCCAGCATAATGCAATGGTACAAAAGACTGCTTTGCTGTGAAGGTCATTTCTGCTGATTTGAAAATATTACTCTTCCTGCTTGTATTACACAAGCCTTTGTATCTTTAGTGATTTGGGTAATATATCTAATTAACATATTTTTGTTTTCAGCAAATACCTACTCTTGTTTTAGTCATAAAGGCTTTCATCTAGAGCTCTCTGGTGTTTTTGAATTTCCAATAGATTTAACTTGCAAGGCCGGTCTGCAAATATGTATGTGTGTGCGTACACATATGCATATGGAACTTTCATAAATGACTTCTTTGCTGAATTAGAAATTGGGAGTATATACAGAGAGAGACATACATGCACAAACATATAGTGTCTGTGTATATACATACACATATACAGTGTATGTATCTATATATGTGTGTATTGTGTATTCTAACTCCCTTTGCACGCAGTATTGTCCTAATTTTAAATTCAGCAGGGAAGCCATTGCTTATATGAAAGCATAACATGCATTTTGGAGTTGGTATAATATTTTGAAATATCCTTGATCAGACTGCAAATGTAATGCACATTTGGAGGCAGGTGAGGTTGAAATAATACCTGATTGTGTGTCTCAACTCCTAGAAGGCCTTACAGTTTAAAGTAGGATTGAATCCAGTGATAGGAAGACGGAAGCTGTGATTTGCACAGATTCTCCTTTATCCTTCGGATTTTGTTTTAAAAGGGCATGGGGAGACTGTAGGAGAAAAGGAAATATATTGTGCTACTGTCACTGTTCTGGTTCTGGAAGCTTTTACTAGAAGGAAGAGCCATTGGGAACAGAGTGACACAATTGAATAACAGTATATATGCTGTTAACATTTCAGTAACAGATCTGTAGCCTTGAAGAGCCATTAGAGCTGAGTTCTAATGTTTCCCAAGGAGTATCTGTTTGAGTTTTACTTAGGGGTTGACTGGCAAGAAAAGTAAGGAGGCAGAGAGAAAGTCTAAGGCTTAAGCCATGACATTGAATTTTTGTGTTTTAATGTTTTATGTTCATATTTTACATGCCATTGGAATGCTAATGTTTGTAAAGGTGTAAATAAAGTCCCCCTCTATTAGGGGGCATCCTTAAGATTTGCTTCTTAGGATTTTGTAGCCTATTAACACTGTAGATTTAATGGAAAGTATGTATAAAGTTATAAAAAACTTAGATATTGCTGTACCAATATGCCATAAAAGTCTGATTCCCCAGCTCCCTTTTACAACTAAAATCTCCAGCTCATGAATTTAAATGTGCAGTTGTTAAATATATGGTACAATCTTTGATACAGTATTATAAATCAGTTTTCTGCATGAGCAAAAATAGTGAGCTAAGTAAGCTAAACCAAAAAGAGTCCAGTATGTGGATTGTAAGAAATCCTTGTTTTGTGCTTTTAAGAATGTACTTTTTGTATTTAATATGCAAGCAGACTAGGAGATGTGTTTTCAATGCAATGGGCTAAAAGTGCTTTCTGCTGTTGAATGACTCAATACAGGACCAATTTATAGTCTGCATTTTGTTAATTTAAAAGCTTTTCTATATGCAGTGCTATAACATAGCACAAGAAACAAATGGATGTAATTCTGCTGAATCTTTAAGCATCATGCTATTTCATCCTTTTCTGATTATGATTGTATTGTTTTAGGAGCAAGGTTGATCCAGGCAGTCTTATTCTATTGTTACCGACAACCATTTTACAAGTATATTTCCTGTTTGGATTCAGCTATGTTTTTGTGATAATCAGCAAACTATTAAATTAGGTCTCTGCACTTAAGTTTCCTTTAAGTGCCAGAATTCAGAATGATGCAGATTGTGTGTGTGTGGTTTTTTTTTAAAATATACCTGACATTTAGACTGCTTTTTAAAAATTTATGTATCAGCCCATTTTATGTATAGCATTTATTTGGTGTGTACAGTCAAACATCCTTAATAAAGCATTTTGCTGCTTTTTCTTTGTAATTCATTTCAACGTCAAGCTCTTTGTCCTTCCACTGTTTTACATGGAATAATGTGAGTTTACATGAGGAGTATAAACATGTGTATGATTCACTTTTTGATAAGAAATAGAACAATAATAACTTCAATCACTAATAGGTGATTATAGTTGAATATCACAGCTCAGTGGAAACATTTAACAACTTATATTATGACCAGTAACTATCTTAGAGCAGGGGTCCCCAACCCTCAGACCACGGACTGGTCTTGGTCCATGGCCTTGGAAGGAATGTGTGTGTATGCATATGTGCACACACTCCCGCCCACACTCATGCGCACGTGCATGGACACCTCCCACAGATGCCTGCATGCACACAGGCATCCCCTGCCCACCTCCCGCATGCACACGCACATATCACTGCCCCACACACGCATGGACACCTGCCTGCCTCCTGCATGCACGCACAAGCACTCCGCCTGCCTCCCACATGTACACACTCACTCCTGCTTGCCTCCCACATGCACTCACACAAACCTGCCCCCTGCACGGATGCCTACATGCATGCACCCCCTGCCCGCTGCACACATGCATGCATGCCCCCGCATGCAATGATGCAAGCCCCATCCCACATGGCTGCATCCCCCCCCCAGTCCTTGGGAGAATGGTCTTCAACTAAACCGGTCTCTGGTGTCAAAAAAGGTTGGGACCCACTGTCTTAGAGGATCTTAGAACATGGCAACTTGGTCATCTACAGCAGGGGTTTCCAAACTATGGCCCGTGGGTCACATCCGGCCTCTCCAGTTTTGGCAGACATACTTCTATATTCGTGGAAGTTCCTAAAAAACCTTTGTCTTAAAAAAAACCCACCAACAACAACAGAAAGTCCAAAGACTTACCAAGAAGTCAAGGCATATCTCACAGTTGTCTTCATTAAAGTTTTCCCTATATCCGTGCTTTAATTATTTACAGATTCACCAGCCAAGTGCAAAATGTGACAAAGAAGCAAGGTGATCAAGCTACTCTTTACTAGGATGCTAATTTGTACAGGTATTTCTTGACATAGCAAGAATCATGGTTAATATGCTGTTATGTGGCAGGTCACTTTTCAAGAAGAGCTGGAACTCATGAGAGGGATGCACACTGGAGCAAGATGGGATGTCTGACAGGGTTCAGAGACATTTTTCAAGCACTGGTGGAACAACAACAACAAAAGAATATTTGTTGATTCTGTGCCCTCCACCAACCTCAAACTGAGACTCATTGAAAATGCTTCTGCACATGCCCTTTTACGGCCATATTCCTGCTGGAACTACCACAGTGGTGTTCTAGGCAAGCATTAGATCTCTGTGGTTATATGATGTAACGGGGCTTGGCTTTTGGTGTTAAAAGTTAACAAAAGTAGGCCCTGGAATTGTATCTTCCATGCAATAGTAGAAAGCCACTACAGTTTTTGGATCTCTTAATAGTGTTATTTGATCATCACAGTATGGGCTGTGAAATTCTGCTCCTCTTTAGAAGAAAAATCTTCAAGGATAATGTTAAAGTCACACTACAGCGTGAAGCCATGTATTGGCTTTCTCCCTTCTAGTTGCCACAAGTCTGCCAGCTACTGTGAGGTGTGTCTCTTGTAATCATGTTTGTGCCATGTACTACACTTGTCTATGGAACAAAAATATGTCTCCCTGTCAGGACTGTTTTATCTCTTGCTCTTGCCTGTAGCAATTTCCTTGTATCATCCCACAAAGAGTTTTGTGCCTTGTGTCACCTCAATTAAGAGATGTTTGTTTCACGCTCTCTTTTTAGGAGGAGTCTTCTAACTTTTGATGGCCTTAATGTTCTCAGTTTTTCAAAAGGGAATTATATGCAGTAGCTGCAAGGTTAAAACTGCAGGTCTGTACTGTTGGGTGTGATTGCAGAAGTCATAAAGTCATTTAACAATGCGACTGTGTATTTGCATCAAGTACACGGTACACTTCATCTGTTTTCCAAGTTAAAAATGATCCAGGTCTGTCTTTTTTGCTTCGGTGTTTTCCACATATCTAATTATATTTAATTCTGAGCAGAGTGAGTCATAGGTCCAGAATAAGGTACTATCTGAAAAGAAGTGCAATCTAAGGCATCAGGATTGTGCAGTTCCTTGTGTACTGATTGTTCGGAAAGACATTTAAGGTGGCTATCTACAAAACAGCAATATGAATGGCTGAACTTACCAATAACTGGAGACAACTGGGATGTCTGGGCACATTTAAATGGGATGTTAATATGCTAATGATAAGTGTGTTGTTTTGAAATGCATTAGTTTAGTAAGTATGTTATGTGGACAGGGGATGTTGGAAAGAATGGTTGTGACTGGCTAGGAGAAACTAGGACAGTTAAAAGTGATTAGTTTTTTTTTGAAACAGTCCAGAACACTTTAGTGAGATTCACATTCCCTATGTGTCACTCATGCTCTGCACAACCAGCAACACAACCAGCCATTTACTCGTGCTATTGGTTCTGGTGTTTTACCAAAAATAGCTGTCCCAAAACCTTTCTAAATATTTGGGGTTACTTTCCAGCCAGTGCCACTTGACTCAGATGGTTTTATTCAAAACAGCATAAAACTCTTGACCATGGATATATTTTGTTGGAATTTTAGCAACCTTCATATGCTGCCTTCAAGAGGTTTGTTTGGAAGGGACTTTTCTGAGATAGGGTAACCAATTGTTCCTTCCCTGCCTCTGATTTTGGAAAGAGTCATGCCTCTCTGCTCAAGAATATTTCCCCCTTCTTTTTATAGTCAGTTATGTGGTTGTCTGCTGCCAGTGTTAGAGTTAGCTATTATATAGTCAGTGGGCTAGTTAGCAGTTTATGCAGTCAGAATGTAGTCAGTAGGTGTCTGCTTGAAGCAGGCTATGAGTCAGTTAAAGCCTGTTCCTGTAACCAGTCATTTCTGTACAGTATGCTGTTTTTAATCTGTTCGGAACTGTGAGTAAATTGAATCTTTTACTCTTTCTCTTACCAATATTTCAGAGCGAGTTATTGAGACTGTAACTGCCAATTGATGAGACATCCAAGCAAAAGAGGTTGCCTACTCTAGGAAGACTTCAATCTAATTCTGCTCTGTAGGCCCTTGCATGTCTGCTGTGTATCTAGAGGTTTTTAGCCAAAATTCAACACTCAGCTATTTAACACATCAATGCTATGTAAAAGGAACCATTAAGAAAATACTACTTAAATTATGAGCATAGTTTGCTGCCATGTGGGCATAGATACTCATCTGGTTGCTGTGTAAAACTCTTATATAGGAAACCGAATGTGAGACAGTTTGGCTTAAATCCTGCACTGAGCTGGGTGTTGGACTAGATGGCCTTATAGGTACCTTCTAACTCCATTCTACAATTATTCTGTGATAAGAGAAATCAAGTGGAAGGTGGTTTGAATATATGATTGCTAGGAGCCTGAGGACTAGCCAGTGTGGTGTAATGAACAGAGTGATACACTAGATTTCGAATCCCAACTTGGCCATGGAAACTCACTGGAAGAGTGGAAGTGGTAAAACCACTCCTTAAATATCCCACGTTGAAAGCTCTTATCAGGGTTGCTAAAAGTAGATTCTGACTTGTCACATACCTAACTAACTAGGAGTTTCAGGGGCAGAAAGTTGATAAGAGAGAGTGAAGAATTATCTTCAATGAATTTACAGCTTAGGAATAAATAACATCCTTTGGGCACTGTTATATTAACAAAATCTTATTAACTTTATTCAAGGTGAGTGGTGTGGAAAACAATGCTTGAGGGTTGGCTGTGTGGAAAGTGTTATAAAGGCCCAAGGGGCAAATACATGCATGATGGGGTTGATGAAAAGTTTGTGGCAGTACAAAAGGAAGAGACCATTACCCAAATAGCCAAGTGACAAGACAAAAGGAGTTTTGACATCAGTATATAAAGGAGGGGTAGGACAAGAAGAAGCCCCACTCATTGGTCCTCTCCTACCCGACATGCCCTGCACGCTCTTACCTCACCTCAGCTTGCACAGCGATGGTTGTTGACAAGATGGCAGCCCCCTCCGTGAGGCGGGCAGGAGGTGGCCACGGTCGCCGGAGCAAGAAGGTGCCGCTGCCTTGGGAATCCTGAGGGACGCGGGACGGGCCCACCTCGCCCCACCGTCTGCCATGTCCTCCTCCTTCAGCTGGAAAGGCACGTCGTGGGGCACAAAGAGCCCCTTGTCGCAAAGACCCATCCCATCGCCGTCCTCAAGATCACAGTTAATGATCACACAGGGACCGCAGATCGATTGAGAACCAGTGTCCACACACAGATACGGTGCTCTCTGCATTTTGCCCCACTGCCTGCCTTTCTTCCTCTGCCAATCCTTTTATGGTGCACAAAGAGCCCCTCGCTGCAGAGACACACCCCATCGCTGTTCTCAAGATCA